CAATAAAAAAAAAAAAAAAAAAAAACTTCCAAAACTGTTTTGGAAAGAAAGTTTGAACATCAGTGGCAAACAGCTAGCCACTTATGCTTTACGGATAACATAGTTCTGATCGCGAGCTGCGTTGGAGTAATGAGTGAGATGCTACAGGAGCTTTATGCACGAAGTAAGGAACTGGGTCGGAAAATCTATGTGCAGGGAACAAAAGACTCACAGCTTAAGCAAATTTTGTGGCTCTAATAATGTTCGTAGAGTACTGAATGGGGAGAGTCATGTTGCTGCATTAGTACCACTGCTTTAAAGCATATGCGGATACAAGACGTAGCTATTAACGAGCGTAGCAGTGAAAACTTTAGTTATGATGGAAAGAGCGATAGCATTTACTGTTACCTTTTTGTTACTAAGTGGACAAGGACTGTATCAGATTAATGCTGTGTAGGACAGGGAAAGCTGAAATTCGATGAACGGATGCTGTTGGCTTAACTAGCGATCGATGCAAATAACCTGTTAGCGAGTGATACTCAGGAAAAGAAGAGCAACAGTCTGGACGGTGTCCGATGAAATGACGCGCATACGTATGTAGTAGAGAAGTCGAATCTTTTCCACGTACGTACGTGCGTCGTCTTATCGGACCAATGCATGTTTACTCGTTGAATAAAGACGTGTAGTTCATATAAGTTTGGCAGCTACTGCAGACGCGTAGGTGCTCTTCGGTAATACCAGAGGCTCAGGCTGACCTGGCGACTGTTTCGGGCATGTCATGTGAGTGTTTTATTGCAACACCACAGCTTCATGCCGATGATCTGGATGTTGTCAGTAGTCTTTTGATTTTCCGAATTTTTGATCGGGTTTCACTGTTAAATTACAAATTAATGAATAAATTATGCCTGTCAGTGTTTTTTTGAATGAGAAATAATCGCTGGTAGCGCTCATTGTTGCCTGAATTGCCTCACTCTCTTTCGGAAAAAGCCGCTTCCCTTCCTGCCTTTGACGCAGATGTATTCAGAATCTCCAGTCTTCTGTGTTCGCTGAAAGAAGCAATTTAATAATGTCCTTTAAAATAAGTGTTACGTATTCAGGAAGAATTGCTATGTATGCCTCTTACTGCACTGCCGAAGTCAACGGTAATTGCTTCATCGTTATCATCTTCGGTGTCCTCATCGCTTTTAACATCAAAGACGCCGATGCCTCCACCTCCATCTCTTACACTTGCCAGTCCGTTCAGTTCTTCAAATAGCGCAAGAAGTAAACTAAATGGTTAGTTCCAAAAATTTTCTTAATTTTCGTGATTTTTTGTATCGGATAATGTTTTTACGGCTTTACATAGGATCATGATATCGATGGCAAATGGGCTTTGGAACGGACTAACTGTTCCGGGAAATTATTGGTCAAAAAAGCCTTGTTTTTCTGCATGGTGCAAAGCATCCACTTGTAGTTACCAGGCTTTGTAACCGAAACGCAAAGACAACCACTTATCACAGAGGCAGTCCACCGTTTATTTGCTTTTTGCACTAAGCTGGACGCAGTCACTAATATATCCCTAGTTGACGCCACTTGCTTGCAATTTGGCCGTGTGCATACCAAGGCAAGTCACACATTTGGACTTTTTTCAAAACTTAGTACGCATTAGCTAAAAACATTGCAAAATTCAGGCAAAGGTGGCTTCAGTTTGAATGCTTTTTGCTCCGAACGACTCAAAGAAATTGCTGAAAAAGCAGGTTAGTACCAGTAAATGTAATTTTTATCAAATTGTATTATTATGAATTTTGCACGTGGATGACATTTTGTGGGCTGAATTGGTAGTGAGGATACGGTGATCAGTGAAGAGCGGCTTAGTCACGTTCGTGGACGGCTTAGTTCTTATTTGCGAGCAACCCTGGCGAGATAAATGGGATGTTGCAGGAACTCAGCACATGAAGGAAACGTGCTTGAAAACCAGTACCTTAAAAAAAGCATGCAAAGCACCAGTTTGTCTGCGGTCAAAATCCATAGAAATAGTGGCTTAAAAGAAGTTGGCTACTGTATCTGCAGTGGCCAGAAACTAAACATTCGCCACAATTCAGACGGAGAATGCACGTAAAATTTAACGGAGTAGTCAACGCTCTCGAAGTGTCGAAGCGCAAAGAACGTGCAGATGCGAAATATGGGCGATTGCAAAAACTTGGCTCGGCTTGGCTCGTCTCATGCACAAGCCGCAAAAAATTTTTCCTGCCGACACTAGGTAGGGCTGCCCCATGGCGAATGGCGGCAATATGAATGTGAGACGCGGAAGTGGGGGTGGTATGTGGTGGGTTTCGTGCGAGGCAGGAGAGGGGGTTAGGATAGCTGGATATAAGGACTAAATGGTGTAGATCCTTTGCCAATTAAGTAACGTACATTTGGAGAGGATAGGGGAGTGGCGAAGAACGGAAATGATGAAGATGTGTGTCTGGTTTTTACCGTCATCAGCAGTTGACTTCCCTTTTTATGAAACTGATGCTTAGGTAAAGTTGTTTCACAGAAACCTGTCACCAGACTTTCCTATTTATGAAACGGATGCTTAATTAAAGCCGTACCACAAAAACCCGTCATTAGACTTCTCTATCTATGAAACTGATGCTTAGGTAAAGCTGAGAGCGAATAAGTTCCATGAAGTGGGCAAAAACAAGGTACAGTGGATGTCTGGAGATGAAGGCAACCTTTCCTTCTGTGAGATTTTGAAGACAAGCAAAGGATAAGTGTTGTGCACAGTTACAGGCTGCCAGAGGCAAGACTGTGAAATTGTTTCCAATTCTTGTGTAATCCAACCGGACTTATTTGCCCTCAGCTTTACCTAAGCATAAACTTCATTAAATCCTGTCAAACTTATTTGTCCTCAGCTCACCTAAGCATGAGCTTAAGTAAATCCTGTCGAACTTATTTGCCCTCAGCTTCACCTCAGCATAAAACTCGTAAGTGCGGGAACTGCTTACTGAAGACGGTTTTTGTAAGACAAATCCTGCTCGCATAAGTTCAGTTTTTGTTTGCTTTTGGTTACAGGCTCCAATTCCTTGATTTTGCCTTTTTTCCTTTTATTCACAAATTCAGGTTTGTTTTATTTTACGTTTCTTTGTAGTGCGGTGTTGGTTTATTTTCCTCTTTACTGCTATCTGCAGTTCTTACGTCGAACTCCTGACTAGCACGCTTCTTCCCCTCCTGTATCCTGTCCCTAATCCCTGCTTCCTGAGCTGCTTCGGGGCACACACCACCTCCATCTACTGTCACCGTTTATCGTCCTGAATGTCTAACCAGCAACTTCATTCCTTCCCATTATCCTGGCCTCAGTCGCGCCCTCTGACTGTACCAAGGCAACTACAAACCAACACCCTCCCCCCGC